AGACACAGGCTCCCAGCTCTGCCTGGAGCCCCACAATGACCCTTGATTTGCAAAATAAGATCTCCCTTCCCCAACACAGCACAGCTCCACGGGCTCTTGTGGGTGAAGAGAAGCAAATCAGCCCAGCGGCTGTGCTGGGCACGTTCCTGTTTTCATGGCAGATGTACCAGACTGGATGTCATAAAGGTTTCAGCCTCTCAAATAACCTTAAATCACTTTGCTCTGGGAGCCTGTAAAAACATCCTGGGTGAGGCACAGCAGTCAGGGACAGGGGGAGCCAGGCAGCCTGCCCTCTCGGGGGTCCTTCGCCCCCCAACACAGACTCCACAAAAACACCTCGCTGTGTTTCTAAATTGGAGAACACTCTATTTAATTGGCTGGTTAGTGCTCGTTTTTCCTGCTCCTCTTGCCACAAGCCTAGCCTTAGGCCAGTAATTACTGGCAGAGCAGGTCAGCTGTCATGTTCCTACCAGCTCTCTGGCTTTTGCTGTTCTCACATGATGACAAGTTGGCCATTTTTCCAAGCAGTTTGGGGTTGTTGCTCAACTTTGTTTTTTTTTCTCCCCCCTAAAGCAGGTCAGCCAGTATTTCTGCCAAGGTCTTAATTGTACTCATTTTCCTTCAGCCCATCAGGACTGGCTACATCTGTGAGGCTCGCAGAGGTAAGGTGTATTGCCTGCTACCTTGGTGCATGTTTAGCACAAATCTCTCGCTGCCGATGCTCCCCCCTCCTCCTCTCCAGTCACGTTTCCGTCCATGATCTCTTCTTCCGATGAGGCTGTACATGAGGGTTTGCTTGCCTTATTGGCTTCTGAATACCTGCTGCCTTTCCCATAGTTGCCTGGATCCCTGGCAGGAGGGAATTAAACTCTGTGCAAAAGACTTTTACTTTTCCTGTTGAATGAATGCAGCTGCTCTCATCCCCTTTGAACTTGCACAGGGAAGGAGGCCCACCCCAAGGGAGATGCCAGTGAGCCCAAGGCTTCACAGTGATAAGCCCTTGCTTTTAAGTACTGACCACTGAAAGCATCACCCTTCAGCTGAGAAACAGTTTGGGCGAGATGAGAGAAGCACAAGGCAAGCTTCCCAGAGGGGTCCGTCTGCACCAGGTTTCTTAGGGCATGCATTTGGGAAGGCTTTGCTGCTCCCTGACAGCACAGTAATAAAAGATCTTGCACCTTTCACTAATGCTCCACTCACCCTCACGTGAGAAAAGCAATGGCTTTGTACACAGAGGACTTCAGACCTTTATGCCAGAGCAATGCAAATCACTGCAAGGCAGTCCTCTCCCCAGCCTCGCACTGTCTACACCACCTGCTGCAAGCAAGGAAATCCCTTCGTGGTGTGAACCTCAGCTGCTTTGCATGTCAAGTTGTAGTTGGTGGGGGTGGGAGCCAAGTCTGCTTTCTGGGGTCAAAATAAGAGAGGAGAGAGGCCAAGAGAGGAGAGGAGAGCTCAGAAGAGACCCTTCACTTACTTTCATAGGCTGCCTGAGGGTGGGGAGAGCACAGCACCGTCAAAGGGAACTGCTGGTAATAAGTGATGTTGCTGCAGACCTGAAATAATTGCAGGTGACAGTGCTGTCATTTTTTATCTGTGTGCACACTTGCAATGTCAGTGGGCCTCTTTGTAGTCATGGGGTTTTTTAATTTTTATTTTTTGGTTTCTTGAAAAGGAGCTTGAAAACGGCAGTGCAGCAACCCCGCAGCGAGCTTACATGTGAGGCTCTCCCCAAGCCGGTGCCCGAGACGCCAAACAAAACCTAACATACCTAAGACCTGCTTTGCATGCGATCGAGGCCAGCCACTGCCACACCAGGAAGAGAAGCCCTAGGTAACACTTCACAGCGACAGGCTTTCAAGCGCCCACGGAAGGAAGATCTAATAAGACATGTCTAGCATCTTGCATAGAAATTGCTTGTTTAAAAGGTAAAAAAGCAGCTACAAATTCCAACATTTTTACATCTCTGTGTCCTGGGTCGTAGTGCTAATCTACGTGTTTGATCCCCATTTATGCAGGTTGCTGTTTCTACCTAAGGAACAAAAATAAATTCATACACAAACATTTAAGCTGACAATCCATTTAAGTGGAGACATTTCCCCAGGGCTGACAAACTGATGCCATTCCTCCCTCTTGTCTTCTGGCTTACTTCCTTACCACCTAACATGTCTTAGATTCATAGAAAATTAGGGCTGGAAGGAGGACATCTGGTCTTCCATTATTGCTCCAAGTCTCAGTGAGCTTAAAAAGCCCTAAATTTGGCTCTCTCCCATCATTATCTCACTCCTTTCTCTGGTGCCATACCCATCGCCTCCTTGTCTCTCTCTACTTGGTGTCCCCCGTTGCCTCTTGGCTAACAGGGGAGACCACTTGTACTGTCCAGCTCCCCTCCACCATGTTTTATTACAGAAGATGAATCGCAGAAGTTTCCAGTTGAGCACTTCTCCATTTCTGAGGACAAATGGGATATGTACTTCCCATTCATTGATGCTCGTGTCCCACGTTCTTGCCATTGCTCAGAGATGAGGTACTGACCCAAAGACTCTGATTCAGGAAATCCAAGCCCTAGAGAGATTTGGGAGATGATCAGGATCAGGATCACACTACTCCAAACCAGGAGGTATTTGGGGATTCTAGACAGAGCCGGGATCGAAGATTAGAGCAGCCCCAGGATAAGAAGAGACCTGAAAACCACCTGTCCAGCTCTAGCATACATTAAACAGACATGAGGCCAACAGCGAGACGTCACCCTGGGAATCACCGTACAGGCCAGACTGGGCTGGAATTCTGTAAAATGGGTTCATTTAAAATGAAGCCACCCCCAATTGTTACAGATGAAAATGTTGGTTCCCACTGCAAACCACATGCATCTGCAGAGGGTGAATTCCTGGTCTCGCTGCATCGCTGAGGACTCTTCTGTGAGGTACACGGCAGACCAGCAGCAGTGGAGAGTAGGAAAGAGGAAAAGTGCAGCCTTGGAGATTTATACTGTTTCCCCGTAGTACAAAGGAGGATGTAGGCAAGGCACAGATTAATCTGAGCTGTCAAGGAAAACAAAAGAGAATTGAAATTCCAAGAGAAGACCCTGTGGTTTTACTCTTCAGTTATGAACCGAGATCTTATAACTTCTCTTGCCAGCCATCCATAAAACTTACTGTCAGGCATGAAGTGTCTGGAAGGCAAAGGAAGTGCCAGCAAATGTTTTATGCTGTTGCTAATATGCTGCAAAGGGTCTGGATCACTAGATAAAATACTGAAATGGAGAACGTGGAAGTGCTCCCTTAAGGAAAAGGTGAGCAAAGGCTGCAGTGGGAGAAATAAGGGGCAGGTAACAGTAAAGCAGGTTCAATAATACCCAAGCAGAGGGGACCTAGACCACGCAGGAAGTCAGGCAGCAGAGTACTGGGCGTAGAAGCCTGCTGGAGAGGTCTCAGCTGTCAGAGAGAGGTGCCGTGCTAGCTCCCCTTATTACGGCACCGTGGGCTCAAAGAGAATATCTACCACCTTTGAGCCCCGTGTTTTCCAGGGCTGATTTTCAACACCAGCAAATAAGTGTTGCCGCTAGGTTCTGCATAGCTACCGGTGACTCTAAGGACCCATTAAGGCAGCCAGGAACAGCTGGAGGGCACCGGGGCCTTGGCTAGGTTGCAAGATCATGCTCACTGGGAGACATCTGTGCAAAGCATCTCATCTCTGATGAGGTAGCTTGTCCTTGCTTTGACAGCTGAGAACTGAGCTTCCCAAGGGACCTGAGCTAAGATGTCAGGAAACAATTCAGGAGTAAGAACAAACTTCACAACTGCCTGGGTGGCTTTTTTCTTTCTTTAATTTTTTTTGCACATGGTAGTCTTAGGAAAAAACATGCAATTCAGATGGTGCGGCCAGCCTCTAGGAGAATACCAGGGTCTCATTGAACATCTCTCTTCCTCCCAGCACAGATGAAACCAGAACCAAGTGAAGGAGCAAGAGGAATCATTTGAAAGGATCCCCTGTGTCATAAGGTAAGAAATACAGGTGGGCAATAAGGATCAGAGGACAAGTAACCCAGATCTTCACCTGCAACATGAACCAAACCAAAATGAACCCCCTCTTGGAGGATGCACAGAAACCCTGCACCTTCTGGTTTTGGCTAGTCCGCCCAACCAAAACCCCCTATAATCTCTTGAGATACTCAGTTGGGCACAAACTAGGAAAACTTGCAAATCTTACAAAGAAAAAAATGACTGCAGTATGTCCAGACATAATGAGACCCAATTAAATTTGAAAAATCTGAAAGCCCTTCCTGTAAGTTGATGGAATTTGCAGAAGCCCAGTGAAATGGAACTCGTGAAGCTCCCGCACCCCAACCAGTGCTAACAAGCAATTCAATAAACTTCATGAAAAATATATTTTATGTACCGATAGCATCTCCATGTGTGACAGGTTCTGCGGTTGTTCAGAAATCAGTTACCAGCTGGATTATGGTCCACTAATGCTGTTAGATTTCTGAGAGACAGAAGGCAGCTTTCCAACCATTTGTTATTTTAATGATGAGGAATCACACCATAAGCCTTGTTAAAACTTCATTTAATCTATTACAAAAGAAACAAAGACATTTAAAAGTGAACATTAAAAAAAAAACACTCTTGGTCCATCAGAGCAGAAATTATAGGGCCTAGGAAAGCTTTGAAGGAGCGTTCATGGAATAAAATGACCTGATAATTAAGCAGCAGCATCTCAGTGTGGGCATCTAAGGCTCTCTGCAATGTCAGTGGCAACACGGTGCACAGTAAAGAGTCTGGAAAACCCGAGGGTGCAGTCACGCAATTGCGGTGCAAGAAAGGGCAAAAAACGTGATGTGTACAAACGCCCGTAGGGATCACGATGGGAAAGAGGAACAGGGAGAAGCCTTTGCAAATGCAAATCCAGTTAATTTCCCCCAGCATAGAAACCCACCGGGATGACGCTTCATATCTGGCTTTGCACCAGTTTGCCTACATTCTTACGAGGGATGAATGCACGTCCCCTTCCCCTCACACAATCACCTTGACATGTCAGGGACAGACCTCAGGCCCTGCAGTGAAGCTGTTCCTCCAGGCCACCATCCTATCCCCACCCACAAGAACAGGAGCTGAGCTTCCCGGAGCAGAGTCCTCTTCCCCGGACAACCATGCAGCAGCCCCAACAAGGGGAATCCCACAGTAGATGGATTAACCCCAATACTTACTTCTTGTAGACCATGAGAGAGATTCCCCGGCATAGCAAATGGCCTTTTCCAAGCACGAGTAAACATTCAAGGGGGCTGAAGGCCAGCATCCCATTTGGCTCTTGCGATTTTTTACCCACAAAACATAACAGCTTCAAACCTGACTCCAAACCTCTTGAAACACCCATTGGCTTCCACAGTTCCCAAGCCATTACCTTGTTTTGCTGGACTACATGAACCCAACAGCAAAAAAAAAATAGCATTTTAAGACCTGTACCTAGACTGGACCTTTCTAAGGAAGAGTCATAGAAATCATAGAGAAGTGGGGCTGGGAAGGACCTCCAGAGGTCATTTAGTCCAACCCCCTGCCTGAGGCAGGATCAGCCCTATCCAAACCATCCCAGACAACCATCTAAACTCTGCATAAGACTATCCTCAACCCTAACACAACACAGACCCAACACCCTAGCCTGCCACAGGGAAAGCAGGAGAATCGCACCAGCCAATTTCCTCCTTCTATAAAATGTTAAGAGGTAAGCATGCAATTCCCAAACAAAACATGGCTCGAGTCCCTTAAGCTCTTTTCCAAACCCACCACAAGGATCTAGCTGTAAAGTTTTACTAGATAAAAACACTGGGGAATGGGGAGAAGGAAGAAGAGAAAACCTCTCCTTCATTCTGAATAAAGCATCTGTTCTAGAAGCCATTTTTTAAAATCCATTTTCTTCTCTTTGCTAGAGAGAGAGAGAATATCAAGTAAACTTCTGACTGGCTCTCAGCTCCTGATACCAAAAAAACCTGATAAATAAATAAAAATGTTTTTCATTGGAGTGAATACAGCACATTAAATGTTAACTACCCCAGCCCCGCATATAGAAAAAGAAATTGGGCAGCTTGGGGTGATTGGGAAATATTTGATGTAAAAATAAATTCTTAGGCTCTGAAATCTTCAGAAAGTAAGATTGCTACTAGCCAGCCAACTCCTTTAAAACCCTCTATTTTTGCTATTCCTTTTCACCCCAGGCATGTAACACTTTGAAATATTTAATACCATTTTACATAGTATTTCCCTTGCAAAAGGTGGTCAGACTGGTAAACTGAATGCCAACTAATCCTGGTAAAAGAAAGAAAGAAAAACCCAAATAACCCACCTTAATTGAAAGTGTTTTTGGAAAGAAAAAAAAAAGAACGTGGATAACATGCTCAAGTGATCATTAAAATAGGATTACAGAACATTTGCATGAAAACAATGTTAATTAAGAGAAACCTGGATAGCTTCTACAAAGGAAAAATCAAGTCTCTCTAATCTACTAGAATCCCACATCAGTGAAATAATGCATACACGGAAATCAATTAAGTCACATATTGTGGACTTTCAAAAAAACTTGGACATCTTTTTGAAGATAGTATTCAAGGAACTAAACTAGTCATCAGTGAGAGGGCAAGTTCAGTGAAATGCCAGAAACCGGGTAAAAGACACAAGATGCATAGTAGGAATGTGCACCAAAGGGTTACCAGTAACATACCCCATGTTTCCAAAATAAAATATAACATCCTGGTCTTGAGAAGTCTTTCCACTACTTTAAAATGAAATGACTCCAAAAAACTTTGCTGGAAGAGCCAAGAAATCAAGCAGGGGAAACTGGGGTATGAAATAGAAATCCTTGTGGAAAACGAATGTCTTCGGTAATAGCCAAGACAGCTTAGAACAGGTGTAGTTGTGTCTTTTTCTGCGAACGTTTCTTTTCAATGCATTAAAGCCAGTCTTAGAAGCAGCAGATGCTTTTGCCTTCTTCTCCTACTTAAAAATTGTGCACTGAAGAGCCCAGACATTACAATACGTTTTCAAGCACTGTGTCCAGAGATCTAGACACATGATGTGCCCACCTGCCAATTGGAAAGGGGAAAAAAGATAAAATATGCATTTCATCTCTGCTTCTCAACTTACCCACAAATGTCACCTCAAGCCCTCGCTCCTCCAGTTGATAGCGTGAACATGGTCCAAACTCATTTTCATTTAAATTTCTTCATGCACCACATCAGCTGTTGTCACATCCTGACACCCTGTCTTGTTGTTTTACAATGTGATGCATTGTAACACGATATGATGTGAACATATTTCATTCAGAGGAGCTCACTAATGCCATCAGACACCTGAGAAGCAGACAAGGTGAGGGAGAGTTGCATTATTTTTTAGCACCTGATCTAGATTTATTGGAACAGGTGGAATCAGTGCAAAATGGAAAAAAACCACCCAGGGCCAGAGCACATTGTATTTGAAACAGATTGAAAGTGGTAAGGTTCCTAGTGGACTTCACAGAGTCTCTGCTTCTTTTTCATTTCTGAGATACAGAAACGCTGCGCAGAGCAGGGTGGCTTGCATGCATGAGCCCTTTTATGCATGCTTAAATCCCTCCACTGCATGTTAATATATTCATAAACATCTCTTTGAAACAGCAATGGCAGCTTTGTATTGTACTACAAAAATCCTCATCCACATTAAAATTACTTCCCAGGTGCACTGCGTGAGCCAGTTACTCTTGGACGTGCATGGCAACAAAATGCCTAACTACAGTATACCCATTTTAACAAATAATTTTGCACTGCTGGCAGGTGCCATCTCAGCAACCTTTTTCCCAGTACATCTCCACATCATCCACACATATGGGCCCTATCCATACAATTTAGTAATTCAAAGCTTCTTTTAATAATAACAAAAATCTGCTATTCCTCTACTGTCCCTTGAACTAGTCATCGCAGCAGAGGTGGCCACAGGGACAGGATTTAAAAAAGGAGAGGCTAGGAGTCACACGAGTTAGTTCGGGAAGGGTCTTCTAAGCAGAAAGGCAGCATGGAAGAAAACAGGGAGATCTGAATAGGAGAAGCAGACAAAGACATGCTCAAGGCTGGTACCAAGAGGCAAGACCTTCAACAGGAAAAAACCTCTGGTGCCAGCAAGTGTGTTATCTTTCTGCAGCCTGGATAATTTCAAGGTGGTTTTTGGGAGAGTACCATTAATTCAAAACCCATCCTGTTGCTTACTCCTCCATGCACCTTTATATAGGAGTCTAGTACCTATTAAACCTGTTAAGTGAGATATCTGCAACAAGTAATGACCTATAACGATTAACCCTTACATTATGATCTTCCACACTAACCACCGTGCTGTGGATATCCAGGAAGCAGAACACTGCATAACTGCACGAGTTAACTACTGTAACTCCAAGGTCAAGAGAAAGAGTAACCCACAGTTTGCCTGGCTCAGTTCTTATTCTGTTGTACCTTCCTATACAGCAAGGCTGACGGCTTAGCTGAGCACACTTGACACCGTCACCAGTCTAACCCGCCACGCAACTAGCTTGATGACATATTCTTGCCATCACCTGCAGAAACGCTTAGAGGCCCCAGCACCAAGAGTTGATTGTAGTTGACAGTCGACTGTAACATCATATTGACTTGTGTGAAGTTTCCTAATGCATAAGGACTTTTGTCATGTGCCAGTGCTACTTATGTTAAGAGATCCATTAGGAGTGCGGTGATCTAAAAAAAGGTCAGCTCTCAAATTTAACATCAGAAGTGTCTCCTTAATTTAAAGTGACAGGGTACCTCACTCCCCGACTAACTAGAGGCCAAGGTGGGGCTGACATCTTTATTTTAAAGCTAATGATGTGCAATTAGTTTGGCACGCAGGAAAAATACAGTCAAGCAATTTGGTAAGGCGATGGTTGCTGGTGCATCACGAACAATGATACATGCATATGATAGGCAGGGACACAGGTTGTAGCCACGTTGGTCTGCAGACAAAACGGTAATCAGAACTCTTGGGGAGGTGATATCTTTTATTAGACCAACTAGATAATTGCAAAAAAAGTCTTGATTTGCAAGCTTTTGGGCACACATGAAGTGATAGGCAGGGCTTTAATGAACAGTTCTAAGTAGCGTGGTGGAAAAATCACCCAAAATCATTAGCTGTGCTTTCCTGCCACATTGCCCCTGAAAGGCGTAAATGGGAAGCCAGCATATCCAAAGCTAGGAGAGCCCCTGGCTCAGCACGCACAGTTCAATCCGGACAGCACAGGACAACGTCCCAAGGAAAGGCCCAGAAAAGAGATCTGAGCATTGGAGTGGGCCCAAAACAGAACTAGAAAAATCTATTATTTATTTTTTGGCCTAACAGCAGAGAAGCACACGGGTCCTCAGGACTTTGGTCTACTTGCAGCAGACTACCGTCTTTAAAGGGTGGCCCTCAGCCAGGCTGCGAGGGATGCAACACAAAACTAGTACATCCAAAACACCTCTGAACCCGAGGAAGGGGCTTCAGAAGGTGAACGTCCAGCAGATTTTCATGACTGGCCAACCACAGACCTACCCAAAACCTCAGATCCAAACATTTCCTGACTCTGGAGTGCTGGAAAGTGGAAATCAGGATTTTGTAGCTAATAATCCAAGTAGTATATGACGGGATAAACATTCAGCTCAGAGCTGTTAATTCCCAAGTTATTGGGAGGGCTCTAGCTCCCAGGAATTGAGTCCACCTCTATTTTTTTTATTCAATTTAAAAAGCACGGTTTCTTCTGTTACAGCAGCATGAATGACTCCAGCCACCTCTGTGCAATGGAGAAGAGTCCCTGCCATTCAGCAGAGTGGCTATCATTACAGTTGCTGTTAAAAAGCTTGATAATCCAGTAGAAATCAAGTGCCTACCTCCCATGGGATTCAGTGGCAACAGAATGAATCTACAGGTAGAGGGAAAAAAATGGCAGTTCCCAGCTCCTGGTATTTGTCCCATCAAGAAAAAAAATCCTGATTTTTCTCTATGCTTTCATGTGGCCAATTTTCTTCCCTGCATTCTCCATCCATCAGCACCTCCTCCCCCAAAATGCCTCCCTCCACACCCGCTTGAAAAAAGGTGGCATTTGATTTCTAACCTGTGTTGAAAATTCTCATTAAATACCACAGGAATAGGAAAAAAAAAAAAAAGGGTCCCACAGAAGCCTGCCAGAAAATGTAGCACAGCAGTTAGCCAAAAAGCTTAATGGATCCACTATAGGAAGTGCCAAACCTTCTATGTAGCGGTGTTATAGCTGTGATGGCCCCATGAATACATGAGAAGCATATTCCCAGGGTAATATAAGGACCTGAGGAAGGGCTTGTTGCGTCTGAAAGTTTGTCTAACACCTTCCTCCAACTGCACTGTTGTTCCAATAAAAGATAGGATCCAAACAAAAACCTACTTCTTGGACCTGTTCAATACCTTCTTTGACACCTGCTATAGAGTTGGAGAAGGATGATGCAAAAGACACCTAAAGAAAGGTTAGCATTTTTATTAGAGTTCTGCAATACTTTTCTAAAAGGGGTTTGGCAGTGAGGATTACTGAAAAGACTCCAGTTCTGGAAAGAGATAATTAAGGATTGTAAAATTCTGTAAAGGGGAACAAAAAAAAAATTTATGCTGAAAAATGCAGCCAGAGCTGAATATCAGGCCAGTCAGCTTAGAGGTGCCAGAAACTCTTATCAGTAGAAGAGGCTGAGACTGAGCACTTCTGAAAATAAAAAAAACTTAAAGGCCTTCGTTGCTCCAAAACTTTTTTTTTTCCTCTAAGTATCATTTCATCTCAGAGATATAAATTCAGATATGTTCGAGGTTACTGGAAGTGGAAAACCAAATTTCATTCTTGATTGATTTCGTCAGTAGATGGAAATGCTCATTTAATTGTTTCTTAGTATTTGACCTTTCTATTCCATTTGGTTAATCTCCATGATGATTAAATGGCATTCATAATATTCACACAGGGTAACGTCGAGGACTGGAGCATGAATGCCAATATTCCTTGGATGCCCTGCTGCGGGAGACACCCTTGGAATGAACTCAGACAAATAAAAGGAGCACATCCTGGGCTCCTGAAGGTTGGAAAGAAGGATCAAGTGAAATTTTTCCCCAAAGCCAGGGGTTGGTGTTTGCAGGCACATGTGCATGTATGTGTACACACACACACACACACATACACACACACCCCCAAATCAACCTGCACTTGGCTCACATTACTCCAGGGCTGAAATTCTGGTCGGTTGCTAAATCTCTGAACCATCCCTCATGCAGGAGAGCTATAATTTGGAAACCTTTCATTAGCATAAGAACATCAGGCTTTGTCTGTACCAAGCTGTGTTGCAGTGGGAGATGTCAAAACCATGAACACAAGGGGAAAACATATGTATTCCTTTTCCTGGCAAGGCTGTACAAACTTATCACATTAAACCAGGATTACCAATTATTTTCTACTGTGCAAGGGTTTGGGATGGTGGGAAAGGGGAAGCAGCAGCATTCCCCAAACACTGCTTAGAAGCCAAACTCCAGGGACTAGGGATGCCAAAACAAGATGTCATCCCTAGCCAGGTTGTGCAAGTCTTCATGAAAATTATGCCTCTTCTTTCCCAAGAGCTTTGCAAACACTGTGACCCCAGTGGATAGTAGCCAGCCCACTAGTTAGGATCAATAGGAGTTAACATGCATTGGAGAACAGCACAGAAGATGCGCTCAGGCTGCATGTCGAAGTCTGCAGACATCGCCATGTTGACTTCAAGTACATCTATGTACTTCGAGTGCATCTACACTGCAGAGATGCCCAAAATAGCTGTAGACTAGCCAGTGTGGTTACCAGAAGCTAGCTGTGATAACACCGTCTCATTTAACTGCTTCTTCATAGCCTAGCCCACATCATGCTGTGTAACCACAGCTGACCTACTTTGGGTCCCCAAAGCTACCCAACACTTTCTTCACGGTGCGTTTGCGGAGCTCGTGTGCTCCTACTATAGCAGCTCTGAGCCGTCAAGCTCTTTTGCCGAGCTTCAGTTCCATCGGCAACTTTTCCACCCAGAGGAACTTATCACATCTTTTTATTCTCCCGTGTAATATGAAGTTTCATTTCTACCTGGGAGAAATGTTAATCTGGACATTCTCCTTTGCCTGAGGAAGGGCAAGTGAGCCCAAAAGCTTGCAAATAAAGATTTTTTTTTGGAACTATTTAGTTGGTCTAAAAGATACCATTTCTGCCAAGAGTCCTGCATATTTTATTTGCCTGTAGACCAACATGGCTAAGACCTGTTGCTCTGCTTTGTACTTTTATTTATGAGTGCTTTGGTCCGAAACACGGAAAAACAGAGCGCTGCCATGGGAACAGACCAGGACTAGGGGTTTAATTGTCTTTGTTAGGAGCTTTTGGGTCCTGGAGCTGTCCCAGGTTCTGGAGCACCCCAGGAAATCCCAGGTACTGGGTGGCTGAGACATGAAAATTAAACTGCCTTCTCCCTTTCTCAGCACCGATGTCCCTACGACAGACTGCAGCTCGTAAGCAAGGAGAGCAAGTTATACGGAGCACCCATTTGATATAAGTCAGGCATAAAAATGCATTCTGCCTCTTTTAGAATGCCATAAATAAATAGAAAACTAGAGTTGTCATTGTCTTGTTTTACCTCCCCCCACCTAAGGGACCAGGTCCAGCTGGAAAAAGACTTCAAGCCATTCCACTTGGGATGTGGAGAGCCTTCAGCAAAATGCAGATGAAAAAAAAAGGCGGGGGGATAACCTTGGGGCAAGAGGCCCTTTTTGGAGCAGAAGATAGGAGGCTGAGTTAGAACGGCATAAGAAAAAGGGACTACAGTCACAGTGAAGTTTTTGTCCCCAGTGCAGCGATGTACGCCCAGCTGCAGCCGTGACTGCTAGGCAAGCACAACCCCAGGTCCTGTACAGAGATCATCGCAGTTCCCAAGCCCATAGTATAGCTCTTCTTGCACTGAACAGATGACCTAAAATACAACTCATTTACATACTCACAGAAAGCCAAACTCCACCACTGCGGCACATGGGGTTTTGTCTGTTAATTCAGGAGGGCCATTTCAAGTGCACTTGGGCTGGGATCAGCTCCATTTTTGGTGTGAATTTATGCTGATGAACTGCATTTCTCTCAGTTTTATGACAAAAGGGTCTGGTAGGTCCTCTGGGGAAAAACCCCCCACTGGAATTAAAAGGCCAAATTCTGTGCTTAGCTAACTCCACGTAGCTGTAGCTACCCTGAAATCAGTGCAGTTATTCCAATCTTGCATGACTGCAACCCAAGAGGACAACAGTACTGAGCAGATGTGACTGCTGCACACATGCACAGGAGCTCCTCTGACCAGCAGTGGCTGCAACATGCCACAATGCACGGTGATCAGGTGGACTCCAGTCGGAGCTGCCAAGATGCTTAGCCCAAAAGCCTACAAGATCAGGGAACATCAGACCTGCTGGGTGCCCCTTGCCTCTTCTGCCCTCCATGCAAGAAAATCCCAGAGCTGGAGGGTGGCAGGAAGCTGCAATATATTGCTCCAGCAATCCCTGGTGAGAGGAGCAGTCTCTAGGGAAGCAATTGTGCTGGCACAGATCGCTGCTCTCAGTTACTGTGGGAACCAGTGTTCATTTTTTCTTGCAAGACACCAGAAAAATAGCAAAAAGTCAGATTCTAGGGTATGGAAAGCACATCATAAAGCGTGTCATCTGGACTAGAAAACTTCATTAATAAACAAAGGTTTCCAAGTGAAGTAAGTCACTGCAGCCTCCTATTCCCTGTCGGTCTTATCATCTCTCTCTAGTGTGGGTATCTAATCGATCCAGATCTGTCAATCTAGTGTACATAATTTCATCTCCCTCAGAGTTTAATTTCCATCAATAAGACACCAAAGGTTTTAAACATACTGAAAGCAAGGTGTCTTGATAGAGGTTGTATATCTTTCTAGCTTCTGTACAAAATGGAACTTAAAGAAAAAGAGTAATTGCTGATTCTTATCTCCTTAAATAACTTCAAGTTTTAACACATTAAAGCAGCATGAGATGTTAACATGCCCCAAAAAAATTATAAGAAAACCCCAAATCAGCTATGATGCATGTTCAAGTCATCTGTTTATTTTAATTGAATGGTTTGTATCTTCAGGCAATTTCATTATTCTCCCAAGATCAGGAATGCTGAATGAAGGAGCAAAACTCATTAACCTCCGAATGCTAAAATCAATAATTTGCAATAAATTTAAGCTAATTTATTTCCAATAAATCTCACAAACACACTTGGCTTTAATATCAGGTGCTCTGCAGCCAAGGGATTCTATAGAAACTTTTCCCAGCCTATATCTACATCTTTCATTTCATCTAAAACTGCAGGAGTCATTCACTGCACAGCCATCAAAGATGTTTCGGCTTGAAATTATTTTGTGGTGTGAATAAATAACATTGCAAGTTCCCCTTGGTTTGCAGCCACATTAGAGATGATGCAAATATACCCTTGCGAGAAGCTCTCTTCTAATTATTAGTTCTGTTTAGGGTCACTGATACTTTCTCAACCATAGAATTGATTTCTGCAAGCTCATGTTACACGCGCCGCACCTCCTCTCCTTGAATTCTGCAACTGTAGCTTGCAAAATGCACCGTCCACCTTTGAATAAAAATGCCAAGCTTTCCAACACACCACTGAATAAAGGGCAAATAGGGGCATGCTTCTGTGAGCCTGCTTCAAAGGCCAACATTTATATTCTTCCCCTTGCCAACACTGAAGAACATGATCGGTACCATTCAGCTAAGGAAGGACTTGATCCATTATGTTCCTCCTGCTACTGGCTAGGGGACGAGCACAGCAGGAGCACAACACAGTAGGAATGTCTTGTTATACAACAAGGCACAGTTTCAGAGACACCCAAAAGGCAGCACTGGCAGATTTTATCCAGTGCTGAATCACCTTTTTGGGAAAGGTGGCTACCCAGGCAGGGGAAATGCTCAACCTTCTCCAACAGTTGCCTTCTAATTGTACTATGTGGAGGAGCAGCCAGTTGTTTTGGGGTGACTTGGTAAAGCATCTTGGCTTTCATGAAGTTGACAGCAAGTCCAGACATTTTGTATGCTTATGAAGAGGCAGGGACAGGGGGAACAGAGATATAAACTGCTCATCAACAACCCAAACTCATAAAGGAAGCAAATTGAGATCATTGACAAGTCAATCCCCTCTCACACTTCATTCTTAAATGATGACGGGTGTTTTTTGTTTGTTTTTTTTTAAAGTTAGGTAATGGGATACACACTAAACACTTGGCGCTTTCAGGAAAAGCCACTGGTCTTGCACATCCAGACTTTACCGTAAGGAAGACAACAATGGTGAACTCTAATTCATCTTATTTGGGATCAGCCATAAGTGTTCCTATTAGACATTTAAACAATTGGTGAGAAAATCAGCTGG